TGATTAGGTTCCATTTTGTCGAGAGTATATAGCATTCCAGGTATTTGAAAATTGACAATTTCTGTATTACATTCAGTTGTTTGTTTCTATTCAAAAATATCTACTGAGGACCTGCTGCATAGAAGCCTTCCAATAAGAAATTTGATTAGTTAAGACCCTCCACTTCCCCACCCAAGGACAGGGACACACACAAATAGTAACAATGGGCAATTTGGGCAATCTAAATAACTGTCTCAAACCCACCACTGCTTTTTTTCCTTGCTCCAGTCAATGTAGCCATTTTCTTTATTGACAAGTATCTACTGAGCACCAACTACATACTAGATATTGGCCCACAACTTTGAGATATTAGCCATTTGCTGAAGGAAAGAAACTCATCAACACTACACTATAATGCAATAGGATAAATGGTATAGCAGAGGAACATGCATGCCATAGGGTTCCTCCACAAGAAGGATTGATTGTAAGGTTATCTAGAGGAGCTGACTTTTAAGCTGCAAGAGGAAATTTCCAGACAAGGCAGGGCAGGAAAGGCAATCAAGGAAATGAGGGAACTTATGCAAAGGCACCAAGGTATGATAGAACACACAGTATTTGAAACTGAATTCTCTGTGGCTTGGGAGAAATATGAGACCCAGCAGGTAAGAAGGTTAGGATCACATTCAAAGGGCCCTGAAAAATTAGCTAAATGCAGCAACAGGAACCAGGACAAGATTGTTTAGCAGGAGAGTGACATGTTAAGATTTTACTTTTTGGGCATTTTAGCAGTCTAAGGTTGCTAAATTTGGAAGGATTACCTGGGACCTATGGCAGATAAATGAGGTAGCATTCAAGTGACAAATAATGAGGGCCTTGACTGACCAGAGGGGCTAAAGCTAAGGAGATGGATTTAGCAAGTAGGATTAGCAGCCAGTCTGATGGATACTGTGAAGGAGAAGAGCGAGGCAGTGAGGACTAAGGTTTACGAAGTCATGGTTAATGGCTTTGAGCAAATTAGAACTAATAGGAAGATAGTTCATTTCATGGGAGAAAATAAGCAGTGTGTTTTGATAAATGGTGAATTTGAGGTGGCTTTGAGATATCAACATGGAAATATTTACAGGTAAACACAGAGGGGGAGAGAGCAATCTCATGAAAAAGGTAGGGGAGGATGGTGTCACAGAAATAAACTTAAAAGCCATGAGTGCAGTGGAAGCCATGAGAAGAGGCTGGGGCTGAGAAGAGGAGGCAGGAAAGAGCTGTCCTGGTAGACTCCCCCAAACACAACGGCTCTTCGGCTGCTCTCTCCTCTCTAGAACATTTCAAACCTTCCATGGCCAACCTCACCCTTCACCCATTTAAAATGGTAAGTTTCCAGCTGGCTTTTTGTTGCCATTTCTGAAGCAACATGCTTAGATAGGAGAAAGATTATGAGAAAGATTTCCTATTCTTTTCCCTAAAACATCTGAGGCATTTTACAACTTAAGCCAAGCAGATTTTTTTCAGGGATCTACATCCAGAAAATAAATGCTTGATTGGTGTAGCCAAAGACCTCCAAAAAGGCTCTTATTTTTTTAGACTGACTGCGAAGACAAAGTACTGGAAAAGCAGAGAATAGATAAGGGATGGAGGAGGGATGTGGCATGGAGGGACCCCATGCCTCTGAGAAGAGAAAAGGGAGCTTATTCCTTAGTGCAGTGTTTCCCAAGCTTCATCTTTCATTTATCACCTTCCAGGCCTTTGTGAAACTCCCCACACCATCTGCACATTTACTTAATTTTTTCTAAGTCAATTCACTTTTAAACTTGAACATTTATACAAAACAGTTAATATCACTTTTGAAAGTGGAGACCTGCATTACTTATGATGAATATATAGAAGGACTAGTTTTCAAAGTTAAAAACTTCAGTAAAAAATTTAAAATGATTACCCTCTGGCTGGATACTGTTGCTTGCCTATGGCTATGAATCTGAAAGCTGCTCTCTTCTGGCAAAGAAGTGTGATAAGCAAGCATTATAAAGGCTTTGAAGATATTCTAGTACCAAACTCAGATTTCCCCTGCTGGATAATCAGAAGGATTGAAATAAATTTGAAAAAAAAGACAGCCTTCTCACCAGGTAATTCAATGTTACTTATGTTGGTACCACAGGTGGCATTCACCCAATCCTTTGAGTAACTTGTCCTAGGATTAACACTACGGAGAGTGACTGGGGACTAAACAGCCTGCAACCAGCTTAAGGCATAGAGGCAATTCCCACATTTTTCCCTTGGTACCTATGGTTGTCACAATTCCAAGGAGTCTATCCTCCCTGCTGTATGGAACCCCTGAGAGCTATGCATGGGATCTGTAGGCGTTAGTGTTGTTCCCCTCGGTAAGGTAGGATCTGCCAGAATGATTCATGGTAAGAAGAAAGCCATGGAGGCATGGGGTTGGGGCACCCAGAAGGCTATTCTTGGAGGCGGGACAATGAGTTGGATAGAACCAATGACCTCACATGTCTTGATGGAAACAAGTATAGCCTTTGGCTGATGGAGCCATTTGGAAAAACTTATGTGTTGCTAACTTAGCAGCAACATTTCCATAGAAGAAGACCCGACAGGCAACCCATCAGGTGTCCAGGCACTTTATGTACAGTGATGTGCCCTGGGCCCATCCATCATCAGGGAGAGAGACTGCCGCTTAACAAGGCCTGAGGATGAGTATTACACATCGCTTATTCATCAGTTTGTAAGATCTGATTTTCCAGGACACAACACAAGGTTTGAAGTTATTTGAAATGTTAAAAAAAAAAATGACAACTCTCATCTTCCCACTGTTACTCTGACAGGGATGTTGTTCTGATCTCTTTGCTTTCATCAAATTAATTGCCCGTTCCTTCGCAATGGCTTAGATGCAAGGTTGTAGATACTGTCTGGGAGAGCAGTCTGGCTTTGAATGGTAATAAGGGATGGGAGTATACAATTGCTGTTCTTGGAAAATTGGAAAGGGATGTGTGCGTGTGAAGGCTTGCTAACCAGTGCAGGGGTGTAACTTAATTTAGAATGTTTGCTTGGGATGTTTGAAGTACGTACTAGAAAAATGCAAACATTCTCAGACTTGTTGGAAGGTCATAGTTTAGCCAAATATTGCCACTTTTAATTCAGCATAAAACGTCAGAACGTCAGGACCACAAGGGACCAGAGGAGTCATCTAATGAAAGGCCCTCTTTTTTCAGACGAGGAAACTCAGAGGCCAGAAATGATTTGCTCAAGACCAGGCTATGAAACTCACAGTAGATTGGGAAATAACCACTTGTCCTTTTCACTTACAGAGCTTAATTAAAAAGTCATCTTAAGATAGTAGAAAATACATCATTCACTGCTGAAAAAAAAAAAGATTATCCAAAACTTAAATGTAGGTTCATTAAAAACAATTCTTCTTGTTTATGATGAATAGATTTTTGTCTTCCCTAAATGTCTTGGTCCTCCCAATGATTAAGAAATTTGCTTAAGATAGGAGATATATAGGGACGCCTGGGTGGCTCAGTGGTTGAGCATCTGCCTTCAGCCCAGGGTCCTGGGATCAAGTCCCACATTGGGCTCCCTGCATGGAACCTGCTTCTCCCTCTGCCTATGTCTCTGCCTCTCTCGCTCTCTCTTTGTGTCTCTTATGAATAAGTAAATAAAATCTTAAATAAAATGTAGGAGATATATATATTTAAAAAAAGATAGTAAAAAGTTAAGCAGTTGATGAGACTGCCTATTTACACTTTCTGATACCATAAGCCTTTTCCAGGACTCCCTTTTTTGAGGGAATATTTTACACTGAGATAAAGGGCATTTCCTGTGAGTAGTCCTGAAACTTGTGTTATTTGATAAAAATGCATGGTCCTGTGACTCCTAAGCATAAGGAGCATAGGGACCTCCTGACTTCTGTTTCCAGTACCCTTCTGTCCTCAAACCCCCATGTTAGGACAAAACCCCAGGATTCTGCTAGAGAGACAGAGAGGTTTTAAACAGAAGACACAGGCAACACAATTGGGCTTCAATTTGCTCAGTCTCTCACTGCCTTTCTCCTCCAAGATGGAAAAGTAATAGAGAAGGCTCAACTGTATACTTTAGTCAGACAAAATTAGATGCCATCAACTGAAATGACTGCTTTTGGCTACTTTTCTACATTGCCACCAAAAGTGGACTTCCAGCTAAGGGGGCATCGATCTTTCTAGTAATAACAGTAATAACCCTTGGATTTGTACAGAGGTTTGCAGTTATAAAAGGTATTCACCTATATGAGCTAATTTGCTCCTCATAGTGACTCTTAATAGGAATAATTGTCCCCACTCCATAGATGAGGCAACTGAGCCTCAAGCGGTTGAGCAGGGCTCAACTTGGGGATTTTGACTTTAAGTTTAGCGCACTTACCGCTATATGATTTTTTCCCATTTACCACTTATAAAAATCTACTTTATGGTAGCAGCCTTACCCTCTGCTAGAAGGAAATTATGTACTTAGTAGTGAACACAAAGTGCTTAGTACAGTTCTTGACACATAACACGTGCTTGACAGGTAATAGCTACTGCTGAGGAAGAGGCAGTGTGGTGGAATAATTGAGATCACAGTGCTTGGGATCAGAAAGATCTGGATTTGAGTCCTGAGTCTGACCCCTCCTGCTCTCTGAAAATGTTTAATGCAAGCTGGGTCACATAGCTTAGCTTCCCCAAAGACACTGACACCTGCCTCACAAGATGTAACTGTGAAATAAGATATAAATATGCACACGGAGCTTAGTGCCTATACTTAGTGAGCAGTAAGTGTAGGGCGATTAACAGGATTTGCTCATAGACCTTATTGTAAGGAAAGAAAGCAATGTCTGCCTTGGAACCAGATGTTAACATTTCCGAGTTAAACACCTTTTTTTTTTTTTTAAGTTTCAGGTATTCAAAGGCTTCCTCTCCTTGCCTCTCTCTTGACTTTCTGTGTCTAAGAGAGTTTACAAGGGTGTTCTGTGGCCCCCACAGCAGGCCTTGGTTGTGGCCAGGTACCTGTATATGATGCACGCCGTGTTCTGGCAGGTGCTGCAATTGTTGAGATCTTGGCCAGTTCGATAAAAGTTGCGCCTGCAAGATAGAGCATTTGCTGGATGAATCTATGGGCAAACCCCATGGGATGCACACATTCTAGCAACTGGTTTCCTATAGCATAGCATTACTGATAAGAAATCAGTAGCAATGCTCTAGAGTTGCATGACAAGTAAAGAAACAAAATCAAAATCAAACAAAACAAGATCACAGGACCTCACATTTCTAGAGGGCTTTATAAATTTTTAACCGTTTTTATATCTGAGGTTTTCTTCATGCTGACAACAAGCCGGTGAGATGAGTCAGTTACTCTTATCCCCATGAATAGCTAGGGAAACTGAGGGACTTTGCAAATAGAAGGGAGATTATTAAAACTCCTGACCATTTTGTTCAGTGCATTTCTCGGTATCACCACAGTGCTTTTCTCTTATAAGGCAATGTTGCGTCTGATTCATATCAGCAAATGCCAGTTAATTACTTCTTCCTTCTCCTACCCTTTTGTTGATTAGCTTTAGCCATTCCTTCTTCCTAGTCTTTAGGGGGCACTTTTCAAAGGACAAACATTCCACACCTAAATAGATCACTGCCTTCTCCTCCCCAGACTGGTGCTGAGTCACCCAGGAAAGCATTTTGTGACTTTTTCTCTTTGCAGAATTGTGATCTCATTTCAGTTCCTTACTTAGCCGATCAGTGATGGAATGGCTGAATCCATCAAAGTGGTCAGTGGAGGGGAAGGTCAACAGTAACCTCAAGTCCTTTGTAACAAACACACAAATAACTGAAATCCTGTGCAAATACAGCAACTTGCTAGAAGGATAGAGTAGGGGGAAGTACCTGTGTGCTATTATTCTCTGCCATCATTTATTAACTGGCCCCCTCTCTTTATAAAAATAACTTTTGGCCCTATTGTTTCACCACCACCCTTTCTCCAGTCTATTGATATCTGGACACAAAAACAAATAGCAATGGAAATCCAAAGCCTAGAAATGGATGAAATCTATTCAGAACAAAGGGACACCATTGGTTATGATTTGGGGAAACCACAGAGCCTAAAAGACTCGGAGACATTTTATTAACAGGAACCAGTGCTCTCTCTCTTTGCCCCTGTCCTGGCAAATGACTTAACCCAGTAGTTTTCAATGTAAAAAAAATTCACCTTACCCTTCTGTGAGAGCTCGAGCTTTCTCCAAGTCTTGAATTACATTCAAAAGGACTTTAATTTTCTCTTGGTTCGAGTGCAGAGATTCCTCCACGGATTGCAGCCTGCCTTGGAGATCACAGAGTTCTCCCTGTGCCAGGTGAATTGGATTAATCCCACTAGTGTCTCTGTGGCTCTGAAGTTTGGTCTCCCTCCTTGGAAGAGGAGATGGTAGGTGACTGCTTCCAGAACAATTTTGAAACTCCATGGTGTCTGACTGGGTGGGATTCTTTGCCATCTGCTCCTGACACATGGGGGCAGAAATTGACATGCTGTTAGTTTTGAGTGACAGCAGATCTTGACGATTGTTACTTGATGACGAACAGTCTGAAGCCCCTCCAGAATGGGCTGGCTGGCTATGGGAGTCTGGTGAGAGGGAGCTGTGAGTCCGTGGAGGTGATGAAATACATGTTTCCTTTGACCGAGATGACAGTGGGCCAAGGTCTTTGTCATCAGAGTTGTCTTTGGGCAAAAGCAATTCGGGTTTAAGTTTCCCTGTGCCTGGCATGTGGTTGTCATCGCTGGTGGCATTTATGCAGGAAAGGGATCTTTCTGAATCTGATAGTGGCCCTGTTCTCTCATCACTTGGACACACATCAACCAAAGGATGTACAGAGTTGCTTATGTCACCTGACCTGTCTAGAGTGAAAGCAGACTTTCTAGCTGCCCAGGTAGGACTGTGGTAAATATCATCTGGGACCTGAATGGCAGCAGTTGCTTTCTCTGAGGCCCTCCAAGTCCCTGCTTCCAAGCATATGCTAATAGGCCCATTGCTTTGCACCTTGGACATTCTAGGAGGAAATGGGTGGGCCACTTTGACCCTTTGAGGCCCATCCTCGAGATGCTGAGCCAACCTTAAGTAGGCAAGGTCTGAGGATACAATGTCCTGTTCGGAGAGGTTGCCGTTGACCTGGATGGCACTTTGGGATACTGTTGGCATTTCTACCAGGGACTTGCTGGCTGTGAGTCTCTTCCTTTTGAAAACTGGGAAATGCTTCCTGAGACTGGGGGAGGTTTGGATCGCAATGTTCCGAAAGCCCCCTGCCTTCTGGGACCTGGGGAAGGAGAGTGAGTAGGTGGGGAGGTGATGGTGTCTGGAGGCCTGAGTCTTGCCCATCACAGCTGGGTCCTCAGAAGCTTGGACGTCAACCTCAGCTAGGCCAGGTGGAGTCTTACTGGTCCCATCTTCCTTGAACCGTACCTGCTGTGATTTGCTCCTGCGATGGTGAGGTTGCTTCACAAACTCCACTGACTCTAGGCTGTTACGCTTTAGAAGCACAGGCCGCACTTTCATATTTTGCTGGGCCATTGAGCCTCAGTTGGAAGGATTGGGACCATACACTTCTCTGGGGCACATTTCCTTAGGTCTTTAGAGCAGCATCTAAAGATGGTGACTCAGACACGGAGATCTGCCAGCCAGGATGAAGTGGTCCTCTCCTCTGTGTATAGGAAGCTCTGTTGGCCATTCCTAGCCCGTAGATTCTCCTTGGGAACAGTCCGTAATGCTTCCCCTGCAGTTAAAATATTATTTCATCAAGGTGATAATTGCCGCTTAGATAAACAATGAGTTAGGCTAATCATTGAACATCTGATCTACCAAGAGAGCTGGTGGGCTGTTTATCAAGAGAGGCTGGCAGGTGGTTCTGATCCTGGAAGAAACTTGCTGTCTTGAACAAAAAGACAACAAAAGTACCATTTAGGGGATAGCGCCAGACTCCCAGAGTGTGAATTCCAAAAGAAACCTGCTACGTTTGGAACATACAGCTTCGTTTCCCAGAGCATCAATTTCTACTGTAAAACTGTAGGAAACTTAAACACATCTTCTTTCCACAGCATGTAAACAGGGAAATCAATGGCCAGGGGGCTGGCTTCTTTGATGATACATGATGCCCCTAAGAGAACATACCCATTTGTGTCAATCACAAGTTCCTCCTTTGGGACCATTGCTTTCTTTCATGCTGTTTCCCTGTCTGTCACAAAACTCAGTGGGGTGTAACCAGGACAGGATTGAGGCATCCAAAGGCATTCAGAGGGGCAGAGTCTCTGTTGGGGTGTCTTGGCTGAAGTTCACATGTAGGCAAAGTGAGCCACGCCTATGGCCTTTGGAAATTTGAATGAGAACTGAGTTCACTCGTCCCAGGGGCAGGGATCTGACACCTGGCAGTCCTGCTAGCAAGTGAGGAGTATCTGAAAGGGAAGAGAGAATGGTTGCAACTGAGAATGCAGTTTGGACCTGGGTTTCTCTACAAATACCAGCACCCTGGTCAAGTGCTTTAGAGTGGCTGTTCTAGGAGTAAGTCAGGCGCGCTGCCCTTCTTTCCATTCTCCTAGTGAGCCAGCCACCTGTGGCCACAAGACCTTAGAACAAAACGTCTGTCTGCCTGGACCATTTCTTTCTCCCACTCCCAGGCATCACTCAGAGAACTATTATTCATCTTTGACATCCCAGCTTATATGCCACTTCCTCAGGGAACATTTCCAAGGACTCATCCATCGTATACGCCTGTGCTAGACCACAGCAGGACCCCTGCTCTATACCTTCTTGGCACATCTTTCATAACACAAACTGCAGCTGTCCTGAAAGAATCAGTTGTGTCTGCATTTATTGAGTGTGTGTTTTCCTCCACTAACCTGTAGGCTCCAGGATGGCAAGGGCTGGAACTTTTTTTTTTTTTTTTACCTGAGTATTTCCAGCCTCTAGGCTCACTTTGGATATATAATGAGCATTTGTTGAGAGAATAGATAGCTAAATAAAAGGCAGATCCCTTGGAAGCAAGAGAGGCCTGGGCGTGGTGTAGAGGTCCTAGGGCATCCTACTAGCATAATAGGTTTGGTGAGTTCCCTCTGCTTTGGCTGTAACATTTACTTAAAGACAAGATTTTCCACTAATGTCTTCATTTTTCAATTACTTTCCAGGAGATAAGTGTGCATAAAATTATCCATAAAAGGTGTACCTTTTAGTAAAAGCAGTTACCATTTATTGAAGGCTTACTTTTACCTTACTGAGGCCTTTACATGCATTAATCATAACAGCTCACATTTACTAAATGCTCATTAATGGGCCAGGTGCTGTTCTAGGCATTTCCTAAGCTGTAACTCACTCATTCCCTACCCTAAAGAGGCGAACACTATCGTTATCCCTGTTTTACAGCTGAAGCTGAGGCCCAGAAAGGTTAAGTAACTTTCCCAAGGAGACACAACTAATGATAGAGCCAGTGTCTGAACTGACACAGTCTGTGCTCTTAACCTCTACAACCCACTGCCTTTCCAACATTGCATTATCTCACTAATCCTTACAACACATCTATGAATATTGAAATCCCTATTGGACTGATGAGGAAACTGAGGTTCAGAGAGGGTAAATACTCAGTGAAGGAGCTGTGAACCCAAGAGCCTGTGTTCTTCCCCATGACGTTCTGACTTTGTCCCCTTGGGGTCTGCCCACTCTGTGGGGCAGGTTATATCAGTGCTCTGAGAACAGACTTTGAAGACCTATACAGGTCTGGAGAGGTGCAGGGGACTGTCCCCCAGACTTGCCATGGCAAAAGAAAAACCTGTTTTCTCTAAGTCCAGTGATTCTCACAGCATCAGATGAGGCAAGTTTGAAAGCCACCTGGGTTGACCAAAGGATTTTAAAGGAAAATAAAAGTGCTAAATATTTGGATTATCTTGGAGAGAGTATTATGTCTGTGGTGTTGGCCAGGAGTTATTAGAAATGCCCATGGCAGATTCGGCTTTCTTAGCTCCCAGCTACCTTGAGAAAGACCAACTAAGCCTATGAGGCTGGGGCAGTTGAGTGGCAGGTCTGAAAGGGAATAGGATCCATCTGTAATGCTTATGAGTTATCAAGTTGTCATGAAGCCCTACAATTACTCCTCACATTCTGGATGTATGTTAGTCCTGAGTTGAGATCCCTGTCCCTTCCTGGCTACGGGTTTTGGGGTAATACTTATCCTCTCTGAGCCTCATCTTTTTTTCATCTGTAAAATGCAGGTGATGCTCATAGCATAGATGCTCACAGATACATGGGTTTGATGGGAGAAGTCAAGTGAGATATTTATGCAAATCTCTGATATTTGTACAAAGCTCAGCATACAGTAAGTGGTCAGTATGGGTTCGTTATTGCTCTTAATACTGTCATCCTCATCTGCAGCCAGATTCCCTTGTGGATTCTGGAACCTTTTCCAAGGTGGGTAGAGCCACTCTTGAGACAGAGAATGGACAGAGTTTGGGGTAACCATCTCACATTTGCCTCACCTGTCTGGAAAGCAGGGCTCGCTTCTAAGAGCTGCAACAACCCATAGCTCTCTAGGGAGATAGCCCTGCTCGTGATGGGTTCATGACAATCCTGAACACTCTACCTTTACAACCAGTTTCATGTTTCAATTGACTACAGCATTTTTAGGTCTGGAAAAATCCAGTAGTCCATCCCCTCATTCTATAACTAAGTCCTCTCTGCATCATCCTCTTCATGCAGCAAGTAAGCCTATCTGATTACCTGTAGTAACAGGGAGCTCACTACTTAATCTCATAGTTGATAATTATTGTTATTAATGGTAGCAAATACATATTTAAAATTTACTATAACCATGCACTGTGTTAGCACTTGATATTTAATCCTTAAAATGGCCTTCTAAATATGATCCCTCATATACACCTGTGCTAGACCAGCTCATATATTTAAAATTTGTGCTGCAGAGCCTCGATATTTGTATGTCTACTTTTGTGGATTTCTTTGCTTAATTGTCCACTACCTCTTCTGTCTCCTTAACTATTCATTAATGCTTTTCTGGATAACTTAACTCACTTAGGCTACAATTATCTAAAGCTGGTTTTCAAAACAGCTAGTGTTTAGTGAACATTGATTATGTGCCAGGCATCATGCAGGTGTTTTTCTTTTACTTTAGTCCTTAATCCTTATTTCAATCATAGAGGCAGGTGCTACCTGTCCCCCATTTTATAAATGAGGACACTGAGGCACATGAGGTTAGATAATTTACCATGTTACTCACCTGGTAAATGATGGTGCTGATATTTGAACCCAAGGACTGACCCTGGAGCACCGGCTCCTAACCACTGGCATTTCCTGCCTTCTCCAGAACTGGGGAAGGACTGATCTTCTTGTGTAAGGCTGTCAGGCAGGTTTCAAAATCCTTCCATGTTTTCCTTCTGAAATTTGGCCATTATTCTGGTTTAGCCCTGCTTTTTCTACAGAAAATTTATGTAACCTTGAGATGTTTATTTTTGATCTTTAAAAACAGTTGGTTTTCCATTTTTAAAGATTCAAATAATGTAGATAATCAAAAAAGGAAGAAAAAACATCACCTGAAATCCTATGACCCAGACAGAACCACTCTGCACCACCAGTTTGGTAAAGTTCATTGTAGGCAACTTCTGGTAACATCTGCACATTCGTTGCATACATATTGTGTACATATTGCATATACCTGCAGGTTTACAGAAAGCTTTTTTTTTTTTTTAGGTAAGCTAATAGGACTGTGTTGTCCAGTTATCTGGTTAACCATGACCTATTTAAGTAGTATTTTTTGTGACTATTTAACATTTAGGTTGTTTCAAAATAGTTCATTTTAATTAATGTTGTAAATAACATTTTTAAAGTATGTGAACCTTGGATTTTTTTCTGTGGAATAAATTCCTAGAACAAGAATTAGAGGGTCAAAGTGCCCATAGATTTTACATTTTAGTGATATTACCACTTTTATTTCCAGAAAGTTCTATTAGCATGCAATCCTACCATTACTGCATCAGAAGTCCTTTTTACTAAAGCCTCTTTATCACTGTGTTTGGTCAATTTCAGATGATTTTTTTTTGTCGTTTCCAATAAAATGGGAAAGAATTGTATCTCGCTATTCTCATTATGGAATTTATTTAAGATTGGGCATTTTTCCATATGTTTATTGGTTTATATTATATTTGGAATGAAAAGTTGAAAGTGACAATTTGAATAATCAAGTCAAAGTAGAAACTATTATGTCCTAGACATAACCTAGGAAGCTTAGCAAATATAAAAATCTCCACTTTTAAAAAATGCATAGTTAAATTCCAATTCTTTTGCCTCCAATGCTCATCATGATCTTTGTACTGATATGTCCTAGAGAATACACCTGGGTAAAGGGAATGACCCTCTTTAGGCCTCAGGTCTCACAGGCTCCCAGCTGACCATTAATTGATAGGGAGTTCTCTGACCTTCGGTGGTTAGGGCTTAATTAATATCTTGTCCAGAGTCAAGAATCACTCCCCAGAGATATTGTAGTAGTCTGGTGCATGCCTAATGGCTAGGAATTGCTG